TGTGTGTGTGTGTGTGTGTGTGTGTGTTAATTAAGTACCCCTTTGAACTTGTGATATCTTTATCTACCAGCAAACCTTTTGTTTCGGACAAAGGGATTAAGCCGAAAATCGGATTTGAACGTTTAATTTAGAGCAACGGTTCGCTTCAAATGTATTCGAAGTATAAAGAATATCAACCTTCGATAATGAATGGTTACCTTTGACGAAAGAAAAACACGTAAACTGCAGCGTTTCGATAATTAACACGCGATTTTCGTTTTTTCCCTTTTTATTTATTTATTTTTTTTAATCGAATCACTATTTAACAACGAGTTTCGTTAAACAAACAATGGGATACAAAAAAGAGCGATCTAATTTGAACGGGACTATTTATACTATTTTCAAATCGCCAGCGTTTTCCCGCACATTTTCAAATTTGAATCTTCGCGTTACGTATATACTAGGGAGGACACATGTATCATGCATAATTATTCTTTTTATCGAGAAAATATAAATTGAATGTTCTTTTCTTCCTTTTTTGTTTTCTTTTTTCTCTATTATTATTATTTAATAATTTTTCTTCATAACCAATCTTAATTGAAACCAACAGCGCCATCTTAGTTAGCTTACCGCGCTTTGAAATCGTTGCAACGGGAATTTCTCCGCGAGTTATTATCGTTTATTATACGTTTGTGTATGAAAATAGAAAAACTTCAAAAATAGCGAAGTACAAAATGGATATATATTTCGAATATTCTGTAACATACAAAAGTTTACATTCACGGCAGTTCTATTAAATTACTTCGTATAAATATAACGTGCATCGTCCCACTGTAAGTAACGACTTTTTAAATTTGAAATTAATTTTGTAATATTTGAAGAAACTTCTTCAATATAGTAGTGTCTCAATTATGTGAAATAATTTTTATCGAAACGATACATATGAATTCTTTTGTTTTCTAATCTTGTTTCTTAATTTGCGAAATCATACTACTAACATGTATGTATGTATGCACGTATACATATAAATTATCACCAAACATTAATTAATTTATAGTTTAATGAGTTATTCATTAATCTAACAGTAAGATGTAAGCTTGTGTTTTCAACTAGAAGCTTATAGTTTAAAAGTCAAAACTGTGTTCAGCATTATAAAAAGCATTATTTGTCAATTATATTAAGACTTCCTATTCTTCATTCTTAAAATTGAATCAAGCAGTTCTGCTGTCCCAAAAATTCTTGAAGAAACTTTTAATGATAGATGATTTGTCAGAGTAAGAATTTCAATAATCAGATTATTGCCACAAAGAACTAAAACATAATCATCATATATAAAATAATAATCATATAAAATATTAATCACAAACCAAAGTAACTTTGTATAAAGCTATAAATCATATTTTATAAATAAATTTATTTGAAAGTTATAAAAAAAAAAAATTCTTTTTGGTAAAAGCTCGGCTATTATTATAAGTTTCTGCAATTCTGATAATTACATGTTTTAATTAAAAAAATCACAGCATCTTTAATAGCTAAATACATAAATAGATATTTATCTTCTATACTTTAAAGCAGTGTGTTATGCATTGCAATGCAAGATATAAATACAGTTAATAAATTTATGTATGTAATTAGATTGACTATATACTGTCAGATAGTTGAAAACAATATTCATTTACATTATTATTGAAAAGGCATAGAAAATTATTTATATAACTTTTTAGTACTGACATTCTTGCTTGCCTAGCAATTAACTATGGTCACGTAAAGTTTAGCGAAAAAGCACTGTATATAAAAGACTGTAAAAAACAAAATTTCAATTCCCATGTATTTCATTTCATCTATCTAAAAGAATGAACTATTTTTATGACAGATAACACTATCATCTTATTATTACCAAAAAATCTGATGTATCAAACAAGTTGTCTTTTTCTAATTACTGGACTGGTAATTGTTTTCAATATAGTCCTAGTTTTACTTTACATGTGAACGCAGTATTAAATTGTCAAGTTTTAGTTTTAAACTGTTCAAGACAGACATTCTGTATAGCAGCAAGTCAAAATGCTTCATCATTACAAAAATGAATGAATGTAAATACAATGTGTGTGTGTGTGTGTAAGAGCACACGCTGATATTTTTTGAACATTAAATACTTATATCAGTGATCTTTGGTAAATATTAATCAGTAGCATTCAGTCACTTTACCAACGTGGTGAAGTTGATGGCATGCTTTGTTGATTTGCTAATGAAGGCCCACTGTAACAAAGACACACACAAAAAAAATAAACATGTAATAAAAGGCATTAGACTAAACTATTAATTATTCCAATTAAATTTCTCATACCTCCATGCAATAAGAGGTGAAAGTCTTTCCGTTAATCTTTGGTAATTTCTTTCCAATTCTCTTTGATAGTCTCTTTGATCTGGTCCAATTAGATTTTTGTTTCTTCTCAAAGCATCCAGACATTTCTTCGAGAAATCTTTGAAACACAGGCGTAATTTATGTTGCAGCCTAGTGGGCTGTGCATTTTGTTCCCTTAATCCAGAAAGAAACACAACTGCAACTTCTGCAGGACCTTGATTAACTGTTGTCCCAATGCAGCCTTGAAGAACCATCTGCAGCATCTTTGCATCAGGTGGTTCTTGAGCTGTGGCTGCTGCAACCTGATTCAAATCGATTTACATAAACGTAGTTGGGCTATAAAAATAAAGTTGGATCATCTCTGATAAACATATACACACCTCTGCAGTTTTCTTTTGTATATCTTCAATTGCAACTTCAATTGGACTTAAAACTATTTGCTTTCTAGCAACCACGCGAATTCTTGTCTTTAAGTAAGGAAAATGCGTAGCCACTGTCAGGATGGTTTTACGTTTGCATTGTTCTCTCAATTCTCCATGAGCTTTACCACCAGGTGTAAATGGCGTTGCATATACAAATCGCTCTAAACATAATTTAAGACGACAAGATAAGTGAAAAAAATTAATTTATCGAATTATCGAATCAAAACAGTGTACTTCTTCAGAACAGTGTACTTACTAATATTAAAATTCCTATGAAAAATAGTTGGTCTATGCCTGAGTTCATGTGGCTCGAAGTATGGCTCCACATATGTAATCTGTACATACGCTTTATCCGGTTCTAATTTACTGGAGTCCACAGGGTTCGAATCTTTTATTATCACAATGTTCTCCGCGCCGAATCGTTCAGCATAGAAGTTCTCGAGTCTCGAAAATATCTCTGGTAACTTCGTCAGAGTAGGTTCTTTGTAAACGAACTCTTCACCAGCAAGATCACCAAAACGTCCACCGTAGAATCCCACTCGGAAATACGTTCCAAACACTCGTTTTCCCGCTAGTTGTTCTACTCGTGTGTATGCTTCATGAAGTTTCCTGAAATCAGAAAGAATCATAAATCAAGATATAAATTGATAAATTTTCGTACTAAATTCCTCAAAGTACGAGAAATGTTATACCCATGAATATTAGCCAATTTTTTGTAATCGTGTGCAGCTTCTGCTATTGGAAGTAGCACCTTGTACACGTCAGGGATGGCTTCATACATTCCAGCTGTATGAAAAGAGCTGGCAGCATGTTCCAGCAAACCAGCTAAACCACTTTCTGAGAAATCTGGTCCTAAGCATAAACCTTCCTCTCTTCTTGCCAGTACGTCATCACCTACTGCACTCTCTTCTAATGCATTTGGAGTGACAGGAGCTAAAGCAACTGCTCCTACTGGACGTCCTCCACCTCCTGGCTCTAAAAGGTGTAAATATTCTGCTACCAAAGCAGCACTATGCACTAAACACATAGCTGCCTCTGTGTGATTCTTTCTTTCCATGTGTTGTTGAGCCATATTTGCCAGCCATGTGAGTCTAAGGTCCGGTGAACCTTGATATCCCTTTGCAATTCTGTAAAATTGTTATTTTTGATTCGGTGTTCTTCGTATCTCATATTTTGTTAGTACTTTCTGCTCTGAAAGTAATTACCTGTACATAAGATCTAAAAGCATTTCTGGATCCTCTTGGAATTCCTTCATTTTGACAGTATCGGACAGTATCATGTGTAGATTAAACAAAAGATCCTTCACTTGTTCCGGAAAGCTTGTGTCTGCTAGTTCTGTATCTCTCTCAGCGTACACCAGTACTGTTTTTAACGCTCTTCTGAGTGCTCCTTCGCTAGGAGCCCTCCCTCTTCCGACAAGAGCCGACAAGGACGTCGTGACTTGCATTTTAACTCTGGCAAAGTTCTAGAAATATTAAATGAATTGATACATTTACAAAGTAAAAATTGTCATAAATCTATCAAAGTCTATTACTGAGACATTTACGTTGCCAATTTCGAAATTTTGCCTCATCAATAGATAAAGACTGGCAGCAGCATGGCTGCGTATAGCACTTAAAGGTGAACTGCATCTAGTGAGTAACGTTAAACACAGATCGCCGCATCTTTCGCTTTCCTCGTCAAACAGAGCACTGTGATACTTGAACACCAAAGCTCGTTGAGTGTTAAACATGTGTTGTAGCACGGATGTGCTCTGATTTCTTGCTAGTGCTCTCAAAAGCACTTTTAATACGGCTCCTACAACTGCACCTACAAAGCATAAAAAATTTTATAAACATACACGTATAAAATGCTGTGTGAAAATGCTGCATAAGTGAACAGATATGCACCTCCTCCTCCATCAGCTTGGACAACTGTTTCCAAAGTGTCCAGAACCACCAGAGAGGCTTCCGCTGCTAAGGCACCTTCTATATGAGCATCTTGCTCCACAGCTCTTCCTTCTGATTGTTCACAGGATCTTAAACGAAAAGGAATTAGTTAGAAAATTATTCAATTTCTTTAAATTTCCGTACAAACTTTAAACTTTCCTACCTGTAAGGCATCTGATCTTTACGCCATCTAAGTTTGTCTCCGCTCATTCTTTCCTTTCTTCTCAGCATCATCTCGCTTCTGGCACTTCCTTGACCAAGAATCACATCCTCTAACCTAGATCGAATATCGCTTGTGGCCGCAGCCTGCGGTGGCAGTCTTTTTAACGCTTTTTTCCCTTTGTATTCAAAAGCCGCAGTGGCAATATTGAGAACTTGAAGGAGGCACAGTATACGCCTGGAGCTTAGCTCTGAGCACCACTGTGCCAAGGCAGACTGTTCCAATCCCTTGAGCACCCACAAGACACACATCAACAGATGTCTCGTAGCCTCTGAACTCAAAGAAACTCTACACTGAGTTCCTGCCGTGTCCGCGGAAACTCCACCCGCTATGGCTAAAGCCACAGACTGTGTAATAGAACCAGACTCATCGGGATAAACGCTCTTGTCCTTCGAATCCCAATGATAGAGCTGCGGCAGAGCATCCATTATAATGTTGAGAAGTGGTAGATAGAGAGCGGCGACTCTGGCTTTCGCGGCAGGATCGGAATATCGCGAATCAACGTCATGGCACGCCATTAGATGCCGGATGGTCCCAATGGCTTTGTTTTGAAGCATGGGGTTCGGTATCTCTAGGGTGTTCGATAAATCCGATAAAACAATTCCTACCAAAAAGTGTTGCTGCCGAAATTCCTGACTGAGTTCGGAAAACCTAGCTCGATCTCCGGGTACTAAGGTAGATATTAGGCTACCGGAACTGCCAGTTGACGGGCTAGGTGAAGCTGGTGCGGATCCGGACGTGTATCCGGTTCCAAACGGCAGATTCAATGCCACGTAATGCTCGTGAGAGCATA